TGGTTTGGTCAATTTGGCAAAATTCTTTATGAATTTTCGGTAATAACCTACTAATCCTAGAAATGATTTTATTTCTTTCACCGTCTTTGGTATTGGGAATTTTTTTATTGCCATTATCTTTTTTGGATTCGGTTTTATTCCATTTGGTGTAATTACATGTCCTAAGAATTCGATTGTCTTGTGTAGGAATTCTGATTTGTCTAATTGTATTTTTAAATTAAACTTCTCGAGTCTCTCAAATACTTTCTTTAAGTTTTTCACGTGTTCATGATGTGAAGTGGAAAAAATTATTATATCATCCATGTATACTAGACATATTCTATTCTGTAATCCTAGTAATACATTATCCATCACTCTCTGGAATGTCGCGGGGGCGTTTTTCAAACCAAAGGGCATTCTGTTAAATTCGTAATGACCATTTTCAACATTAAATGCTGTTTTGGGTATCGAATTTTCATGCATCTCGACTTGATGAAAGCCAGAGGCTAGATCTAGTGTCGTAAAATAATTACTACGACCAAGTCGGTCTAATATATCCGTAATATTAGGTAATGGATATCTATCATCAATAGTTTTTTCATTTATCTTTCGATAATCAACAACCATTCTCCATTTTTGTATGCCTGCGGCATCTTCTTTCTTAGGTACTATCCACACAGGAGATGACCAAGGGCTACAGGATGGTCTGATTATGTTATCTTCTAACATTTTCTTTATTTGAGAATTTACTTCTTGTTTATGCACATGTGGGTATCTATACGTTTTCGTGTGCACTGGTATTTCATCCGTTGTTTTAATCTCATGTTTGACTTGATTGGTAAATGTCAATTTTTCATTTGGCTTGTGGAAAATTTTAGGAAATGATTTAATTACGTGTTTTAAAGCATCAAATTCCTCTGAGTTTAAATGATTAATATGCAACGACTTAATGGGGTCATTTGCATATTCAGCATTTTCTAATAAAGTCATTTGCTCTATATTAAATATCTCAAACTGTTCGTCAGCGTACGGTAAACTTATTTCCGCTAAGTTGTTTATGTTATATGGGACAATAATAGGCTTATTCATTAAATTATGCACTTCTAGAGCTACTGTCTGGTTTAAAACTGTGGCTATTGTCGATGGTATATAATACGTTGCATTTTTTATCGGTGGTGTAAGTATTTCAATGCCATCAGCTATATTTGTATTGAAATAACATACTTGAATTGAGTTGCTTGGAATCTCAAAATTTTGATTTTCGAAATCTGTTCTATATTGAAACGGAAGTGTTGTTTTATTATTAGAAAGAAGCATATTAGAAAAATCTATATTTAAATTATTTTCTTGTAATGCTTTGATTCCAATAATTCCATCAAAATAGTCATGGAAATTGTACATTATCATTTCAATGTTGTTTTGAATATTATATTCTTGTAAAATTGGGATATTGATTTTTCCATACGTTTTTCTTGTACCCATGCAAGTGGTTAATTTATTTCGTGAATTAATTATAGAATTTGAAAAATATTCTTCTGCTATTGAGGGTCTTATTAAAGAGGCATGACTTCCTGTGTCAATTAATAATTTACACGGTGGATAGTCTATTTGAATAAAAGGTAGTTGGTTGATTTGATAAGCATTTAAAGTTAATGCTGACTCATTGCATCCAAGGCTTGTAACTGAAAATTTTCGTCTTCAGTTGCGACTTGATTTTCTTCAAAATTTGTCTCTCATAATAGTTTTGATTTTCAGAACATTCGTCATTTTCGAAATTTTCATCAGGTTCAGGCAATTCGATTTCAAAGATATTATTAATTTCTTCGATTGTATATTTAGAAGGGTATTGATGTTGATTTTGTGCTCTTGGTTGCACTGAGACACCGGACATAGGTGTCGGTTTCGAAAATTGTTGATTAGTGTTTTTTCGAAAGGCATTATTGTAGTTTTTGCCATAAGTTCCTGAACTAGTAGGAAATTTTGTTGGTACATAGTCCTTTTTGGGTTGTATATTAATAGGTTGGGATGGAAACTGTGGTTTCTGTGGTACATACGATGTTTTTTGTGTATATTGAGGTTTTTGTTGAGTATAGGTTTGTTGTGAACGAAATTGCGTATTTTTATTTTTGAAATTTGAAAAATTTTGATTTTGATTTTGATTAGTAGAATGAGTAAGGCCTCTACTAAATTTCATGTGGTTTTCAGCTAGTTGATAGTTTAACACAAATTTTTTAGCTGCATCCAACGTTTGTGGATTTTGAACCATTAAAATTGTTCTTAATTCGGTTGGCGAATTAGTGACTAGATTTTGAATAGCAATAATTTCGTTTTGTTCAATTAAAACATTTGCAACTACCGTTAAATTTGGGTCGCACATGATTTTAGATATAATTCTTTGAACTAAACCTTTTAGTTTATCCAAATACTCAATAATAGTTTCTTTATTAGTTTTAGTGGTATACATAAGCTCTTGTACCAAATTCTGTCTAGAATATTGATCACCATACTTAATTCTCAACGCTTCTCTTATATCGGCCCATGTTTGTAAATCAGGACGTGCCATAAGAAAATTTCCTGCGTCATTTATTAATTTTGATTTTATGGCGGTAACCACATACTCTTTTTGAGCATTTTCACCAGTATAATAGGTTTGATAAAATTCATTGATGTTTCTTATGAAATATTCTAAATATTGGCTTTCGCCACTGAAAGGTTTGATTAGTTGAACGATTGATTTTAAATTTTCACTCATTGTTACGGTTGGTCTTTGATTTTGGTTGTTACTTCTCGAATTAGAATTGTAAAGATGAGTTAAATTAAATTGAGTCAAGAAATTCTCGATTCCTTCTTCAGAATCTGACATATATATTTCTTTGAATTGTTAAGAAATTATTTTGAAAATTTAGAAAAATTCAAAATTAAAAAGTTTTTATTTTTGTTTTAAAATTAAAATTATAATTAATTATTCAGTCTTATGCGTTGCTTTTTCTTAAAAATTAAAAGTTGTTGTGGGTTTGTAAATTCTTTATTACTCTTTATTTTTGATTTCAGTCTTTTCAGCAAACCGTTTTGGAATTGCAAAAGAACAAAAATCTGAATTTAAGTTTTCTCAGTAAATCAAAAATTAGAAATTACAAAAGATCAAAAATCCAAAAATCTTAACTATGGAACACCAATTACAAAATGTATAAAGAGAAAGGTTATACTTACTAGGCAAAGCTAATAACAGTAGTCTTTCTTCACACGTTGTTTCTTGTTATTCCTTTTACTCAGTTAACCAATTCGAAGTGGACAGTATCTGGAACGTTTATTAGCAGCACTGATAATCCAAATTTCACTTTTCCGAAGAATTCACTTTTTCGAACTTTCTTCAGTCTTTTGAAATTTTCGCGACGGATTACGACTGTTATAACTCCCGAAACTTAAGCACTCTGAGCATCCGAACGACTGCGCCAATTATATTTTCGATTCAGAAACTTGTATTTTAAAAAACATTTATTCTATTGATTAAAATACAGAGGTGACAAAAGAAAATATTCGGATCAAATTGCTACAGGCTAAAGCCAGAAAACAAATGAACGTTCCTTATGGGACTGCATCGGCTTAAATAAACATTTAATGCCGACATAGCAATTTGATGTTTACTTTACAACAATGTATTTAAAAAGTCCTAGAGGAAAGGGGTAAGCACATTAAAGCATATAAAAAATAGATAATTGATTATAAATCAGCATGGCAATTGGTTAATATAACTTGCGTAATATACTTTTGCAGTACAAAAACATCTAAAAAAAGCTGTAAATAAGCACAAACCATAAAATAAGCATAAAACTTGAAAAAAAGCAAAATAAACATTAAAAACAGTGCATTTTCGACATTGTTTTTGTCTAATTCGTAAATAATTTGAGTCGCCTTATATTTGCTTGTAATATTAACAAAAAGCATAATGCCTTGAAATCCGGACTCTAATCATGAAAATAGCTTTCCCACCAAAAATGTGTGACATGCAGCCTAATCTAGACGAGACGCGCTTTTGAATGCCGCAAACCGCGTTCAAAAATATTTATTTTTAAAAAAGTTGCAGCTGTTTAAAAATAAGGCAAAAAATTGAATGGACCGAACTTAATGTTGACCAGTTATAAAAACGATAGGTACGCAACAAAAAAAAACTACAAAAATTACTCTATTAGATAGAAGAAAAACCAATACAATAACGATAAAAAGAATCACAGATAAAGACGGAAACTTAAAGTATCGAGAACATCATAGCTGAAGATAGGTGAAAATCTAAATTCAAAAACTCGACCAAATTTTCAGGAAGAAGAATGTATGTATAAAATCTGTTTTTTTTTTAAAGATAATTCCCCAAGTCAAAAATTTAGTAACTATGTTGGCAACACAAGTCTTTTCTACGTGAAAAATTTGAAAGCATTGACAATTTTACATTGTATTGCCAACCTAATGTCAGTTTGACTTTTATCTTTAAAAAAAAACGCACTTTAGAAAGCTTGTATGAAATGTTTCTTCTTCTTGCAGCACTAGTCATGTAAAGCAACGAAATTCACCTTTCTCCAGTTTAGCAAATAATATCCAATATATCATAAACAGACTATTTTTGTTACTTTTTGTCTTCTGTCCCATTAATAACAAATTTTCTAAGATGGTGACATAGAAAAAAATCTTCCCCAAAAATGCTCTTAGCGTTGCTTGAATGGAAATTGGCCTTAAAATGTGTATCAAATAAAATTTTCAAATAGCCCTGTTCGGGTTTGAAAAAAGGGCGGTCACATTCTAGAACGGTTCAAAACAATCGCACAGTTCATCAATCAACAAAATGACAACGGCTCACTATCACAAATTGCAATAATAAACTGTGCGATGATTTTGAACCGTTCTAGAACCGTCCCTTTTTCAAACCCGAACAGGGCCGTTATAACCTAGTGGGTATTGAAAGTTCTTTCAATGTCGCTATATCAATAACCATAGTTTCTATGGCGACCGACAGCGTCATTTTCAAATAAACCTCTCAAATCCAAAACATTCATAATTTATTATTTTTATTATTATTGATATAAATAAAAGTGCCATGAGTTGTGACTATGGTGAAGATTGCGCAGGAGACGTACAAGATCTTGAACCTAAAGCAATTATAGGATTCGATGGTTCGTATAAATTTTTAATAAAATTTCCTTTAAAACTAGCCCCTTTTTCTGTACAGGAAGTACTATAAATGGTCTTGTGGTGCACCCGAACGGCCTACACGTTTTATACCCGATGGGCAACAAAATAAGCATTCAAGAATGGGACACTAAAAAGCAAACTTTCCTCGTGGGCCATACGAACAATATTTCTGCTGTTTGTATTTCGCCTTCTGGAAAATTTGTAGCTAGCGGTCAAATTAACCATATTGGCTTCAGGGTACCCACACAGTTTTCCTTTTTTTAAAATTATTATCTCAATATTATTATAGGCTCGTGTCATTATATGGGATTTCGAGAAACAAGTCATGCTTAATCAACACGAACACCATAAAGTACGTGTGGAAACTGTAGTGTTTTCAAAAGACGAAAGATATTTAATTTCTTTAGGTAAATATTTTACTTGATTATTTTCATTAGTTAACAATTGAATATAATATAGGTGGTCGTGATTGTGGTTCACTAGTAATATGGGACATGACAGTGGGGCACGTCGTATGTGGTACTCATGCTTCGCGCGGCTCTCAAGGCGAAGCATTAGCTCTATTGCCAATGGTGCGACGTGGCCAATGCTTTATTTCCGCTGGAGATTGTCATTTGTCCATTTGGACTATAGACTTTAACATGCGCAGCCTTAGAAGCATAGACGTTGCAATGTCGAAGCTCAAAAGAAAAGTGATGTGCATGGATGGTAACGAAAGAGATGAAGTTTTGTATTGCGGTACCAGTACTGGAGATGTTTTGAAGATTAAGTTGAATTTTCATCACGATTTGGATATTGTTGAGCCGGTTAAGACTCCGTGTGTTGTGGGCTGTTTCGCTAGGATTTCGAAGAAAAAATTGCGTAGGGGTAGCGTGGATTTGTATCAGCAGGGGGTGCGTTCGCTTAAAAGGCTTTTCGGAGGCGAGCTGATTATAGGAGCAGGAGATGGTACCCTGGAAATGGTGGTTGAAGACAAGCCTGTTTTACCAAAAGATTGTGTTGACGTTAAATTACCCTCGATACCTGTTTTGAAAGTATTGAAGTCAACTTATGTAAACACCGCAATAACTTCTTTACAGGTAGGTATATGTTTGAATTGTGTGGTAAAATTTTAATTAAATAGTCTTAATTTTAGCTGACTAAAGATTATATCTTAGCAGGCACTATGGCAAACGAAATTTACCAAATTAATATGAATAACTTCAATGCTGCATTGATTGTCAGCTGTCATACGTCGACGATTTATGATATAGCATTTCCAACGTAAGTATCATGTAGAGAACTGATCAATATCTTGCTCTTTAGAGTTGTGAGTCCAAAGAAGTTTAAGGGCTGTATCCAGTTCGACCAAATGCCGATTTAACAGACACCAGATTGTAGATTCCTTCTTGAGTCGCAGCCGCATCAGAGCTACATAATTTACAGATATTTTCCACATCGCTTTGCTTCTTGTTGATATCCAAGATTTTAAGACTTCTCCTTTGTTACATAGAGCTCATTTATTAGGATGTTAACCATATCCTCCTTGTGTCAAAACAGCCTGTACAAACCCAAGCAGATGTTCTGCTGTTTCTGTTGCTTGTTCGCTTGTAGCACTTTGTTTTATGAGAAAACCTGCTTCCTCGTTTCATCTATAACTTGATCTCCACATCACGGTTACTTCGTTCCTCACAGCTAGTTGGTTGAGGATCTTATTGCCTCCCCAAACCAGCTGCGACGTGCAATGTAACTCTTAATTAAAGCTATAAGAGCCGCTTGGACTATCTGGATAGAATGTAAATGTGTTCCCTTTTGAGGCTTTCAAGTCACTCTTAGGTACCGATATCTAAAGTCCGCAAAATGTAAGACAAAGGACCGAAAGAATGCGTGAACCCTATACGTAAACAAATTACGCCTCCGCATGATTTGTTGTCTATACCTTTTCAACTTCAAATTGGGACTAAGCAACTAAATTGGGAACTAACAATATCAAAGTGGGAATTAACAAACTCAAATTGGAAATAATCAAATTCAATTTGGTACTAATCAACTTCAAATTGCGATTAATCAATTTCGATTTGGGAACAAACAAATTCAAATTGGGAATAGACCTATTCGATTTAGAACAAAATAAATATGTTATTGAAAAAGGGACTTTGAACAGTAATAAAATGATATTTTGAAAAGTTTGTGAGGCTTACGCGGTCCGGGTTTATTGATGAAATATTTTCATTCGGGCTTAATGGCCGTCGTAAGTTGGAATTTCTTCCTCACGTTTCGCTAGCACGCGTGGCTATCTCCGCCATCTCCAGAGGTGCTTCCATGTCCGATTCTGTTAGCAGTCTGCTACCAGACGTCAGGAAGAAATTCCAACTTACCACAGCCATTAAACCCGAATAAAAACATATCGTCAAAATGAGATTTTGTTCAAAAATTTTTTTTGATTTCAGCGAAATTTCCAGTCATTTATACCATATTGTCGCGGCTTTGGGTTGCCTGCTGACAAAAATCTTGGGTTCGTTGTTCGTTTCGTTTATTCCAAAAATCAAAGTCCAATTAACACAGCAATAATTTATTCCACTTAATAAAACACTGCAAGCACTGCCCTCCTCTTAAGGTTGATCGTCCCAATCAACTTCACGCCCATGATATTTTGCCAATCTGTCCAGATGTACAACTTTCATCTTACTCCTGGTGTTGCGCTGGACTCGATAAACCAAATCATTGATCCTCTTGATTATTTTGTAGGGTCCCTCCCACGCTGAAGACAACTTCGGCGATACTCCTTTCTTTCTAGCTGGGTTATACAACCACACTAAATCACCTTCTTGAAATCCGACCGAATTGGCTTTCAAGCTTGTTGTCGTCTGGTCTTCATTCGGTCACTGGCTAGTTGAATATGCTCCCGAGCAAAATCATGGATACCCAGAAGTCGTGCCCTTACTTCGTCGGCATAATCTCGGATTTCTCTTCGTTCTTCTTCGGGTACTCCAAACATCAGATCGCAAGGTAACCTGAGTTCCCTTCCAAAAACAATTCTAGCCGGACTTTCACCTGTTGAATTGTGAACAGCCGCTCTGTAAGCCATTAAAAATAGAGGCAAATGCTTGTCCCAATCTCGTTGGTTCTTTGCGACCACTTTTGTCAGGTGTTCCTCTATGGTCTTATTGAATCGTTCCACCATGCCGTCAGATTGAGGGTGTAAAGGTGTTGTCCTGGTCTTACGGATTCCCATGATCTCACAAATTTTCTTAAAGATGGCAGATTCGAAGTTTCGTCCCTGGTCTAAATGTAACCCCCGAGATCTTAGTTTTGGGCCTTTACTGGTAGCACAGATGTTGCATTTTCGGCACCAGCTTTTAACGTCTTCATGGTAGTGAACCCAATAAAAACGTTCCCGAATTTTGTCCAAAGTCTTGTTAACTCCGAAATGTGCCCCTGAAGTTCCGTCGTGTATCTCTTTTAATACATCTTCCACTCGGTCTTTTGGGATAACCAGTTGGCTCTTAGTGCATTTCCCATCGGCACTTTCCCAAACTCTTTTGAGCAACCCATTTTCTACGGCCAGAGAGTTCCACTGGGCCCACAACGCCTTGTAAATCAAGCTTTTGTTTGACACTTCCCCCCATTCTGGCCTACATTCATCATTTTCTTTAAGATGTAGAATTTGCCCGATGTCCTGGTCTGCCTCCTGATCTTCTCTCATTTGTTTGGTAGTCCATTTGTCATCGACGATCAGGCCCGTTCTTCTTACAGCTGGACTAGTGTTTTTCTCATGTATATCGATTCTTTGACAATGCTTGCAATCTTCTTTACATGGCCGTCTGGACAGAGCGTCAGCATTTTTATGCAGGTTTCCAGGTCGATGTTTAATTTGGAAATCGTATTGCTGCAATTTCTCAATCCATCTAGCAAGCTGTCCTTCAGGAGTTTTCATTTCTAAAAGCCATTTTAGAGCTGCGTGATCTGTTCGAATTAGAAACTTGCGTCCATAGAGATACTTATGAAAATGGTCGACTGCTTTTACTATGGCAAGCAACTCTCTTCTGGTGACACAATAATTTCGTTCCGGCTTTGATAATGTTCTGCTGTAGTACTCCACGACATGTTCTTGTGAATTTTGGATTTGTGAAAGGACAGCTCCAACACTGGTGTTACTTGCATCTGTGTCCAAAATCAACATGCCTTTGTGATCAGGATAGGACAACACTGGGCTCGTACATAATGCTCTTTTCAATTTTCTAAATGCGGAATCGCATTCTTGGGTCCAATTGAATGTTGATTTTTCTTCTGTCAATCGATGAAGTGGAGCAGCTATATTGGCGAATCCTTTCACAAATCTTCGATAGTAAGAGCATAATCCTAGAAAACTCCTTAGTTCATGTTTGTCGCGTGGTTTTGGCCAGTCCCTGACAGCATCTATTTTTCCTTCCATAACTTGTATGCCCTCTTCAGATACCACGTGACCTAAGAATTCCACTTTCTTTTGAAATAGGAAACACTTATTTGGATTGAGTTTCAAGTTGGCATTCCGGAAGCGGTCAAAAACTTCTTTTAGGTTATTGAGATGTTCTTGGAACGAATTTCCCATAATCATGACATCATCCAAATATACCAGGCAAGTTCTCCATGTAAGGCCTCGCAAAACAAGATGCATCAGTCGCTCAAACGTAGCTGGAGCATTACACAATCCGAAAGGCATTACATTAAACTGGTATAGTCCGCTTCCGGTACTGATGGCAGTTTTCTCTTTGTCATCATCATGTATTGCCACTTGCCAGTATCCACTTTTGAGATCCAAGGTGGAAAACCATTTGGAGCCCGATAGAGTTGTTAGTGTATCGTCTATTCTTGGGAGAGGGAAGCTGTCCTTCTTGGTGACGTCATTGAGCTTTCGGTAGTCCACACAAAATCTAAGACTCCCATCTTTCTTCGTAACCAGTACTACTGGCGCGGACCATGGACTATTTGACTCTTCAATGACTCCCTCTTGAAGCGTTTTATCAGTTTGGTTTTCCACTTCCTGTTGCTTAGCTACTGGCATACGTCGTGGTGGTTGTCTAATTGGGTGTGCCAATCCAGTATCAATTTTGTGTTGAATTAAACTGGTTCGTCCGGTTTGATTGTCCATCACAAATACGTCTGCTTCTTTCAAAATGAAATCTGTGGCTTCTTGAAGTCTATCTGGATCAAGATGTTTCCATGATTTCGCCAAAGTCTGCATCAAGGTGTCTGTATCCAATTTGGATTTCACAAAGTGTCGCTTATCTGGTAGGTCACAGTTCGATATTTGCTTCACTGGTTCGAGAGCTCCAATAATGTCTCCTTCTTTTATTCTTACTGTTTCGGAAGAAACATTGGCAATTCTTATCATAATGTCTCCATTTGTTCTTACTAGAGTCTTTCCAACAAGAAACCTTTCTGGTTTATCTCCAATGAAATTACGTGTTAGTCCAACGCAGCACCCAGGGTTGGTTTCTAATCTTCCGCAAATGATCTTCTCAGTACTTCCAGGAATCCTCACTGGGGTTGTGGCCAAGATCTTAACGGCTTCGGATTCTTCTTGTGTTGTTAGGACAATTTCTTCATTACCAAATTTAAGGATGTTCATGGAAGGATCAAAGGAGAAACCATGTTGGCCGATCAAATCCATTCCCAAAATAAAATCGTCTTCTATATCGGCGACTAATGTTCTGTGCCTGAAGATGGTAGATCCAAAAGTGAGCTCCACCATAGCTTCTCCTTGAACTGGTGCAGATTCTCCGGTGACTGTTCGTAGTGACAGGTTTCTAGTGAGCGGTTGGATTGCCCGAGACTTGATTAATGTTCTTCTAATTATGGAAACTTCAGCACCCGTATCAAAAGTGATGGTTTTCAATTCGTCATTGATTTGTCCTTCGAATTTTAATCCTCTATAATGACCGCCCAATGATTTTATGTACACAACTCTGGGGGTTTTGTCATTACTAGCCAGCATCCTCCCTTCCGTACTAGTTGGTTCCTGTTTATTATTAGGGCTGGCGTCTCTAGACCTTGAAAAGCGTTGAGAATGATCCCTAGATGGAAAGGACATCCTTAGTCTACAATCCCATTGCATGTGTCCAAGCTTTTGGCACCGGTAGCATTTTACTCGGTTTCTTGGTGTTGGTGTTTATCTGGAATCGTTTCCCATTTTTCTATCTTCTAGTAACAGTTTCTCCATTCTCTCCATGAAATTACTCATTTGGGTCTCAAAGCTATCATCCTCTTTTGTCAATTGTTTATCTTTTGGGTCTTCAATGGAC